AATCACTGTCTTTTTATTGAGTTCTTTCCTTTAATGCATAAAGTTTGTGAATACAAAAATGTGTTTATCCAACACAGATACAAAATAATATACAGAAAATGAATCCCTACAAAGAAAATGAAACCCTAACCCAGGCCACTACCCAGTAGATCCTACGTTCCTGTCCCTGACAGAAGTGGGACATATTTTAATAAAGTGAATTAACTTAATTAATCTGGAGCCTTATTGTATGCTTTGAAATGAGTCAAGAAAGGGCCCCATGTTTTTTCAAATTTACTGGTTGAGTGTTGAAGAGAGCATCTAATTCTTTCCAGTTTCAAACACGACATCAGGTCACATAACCACTGTGGGTCGGAGGAGCAGCACCTTCCACCTGGTCAGATCTGTGCGCCTCGCTAACAGCAAACAAAATGCCAGTGCCTGAATTTAAAGGCTGGTAAAGGCAAACCCTCACCACTGAAGCCAAAAAGAGCCAAGAGAGGCCCAGGTGTTACTCCTGCCAGCCTGGACATCGTACGGAAAACATCTGTCCAGAACCGACCCAGAGCGGGGCAGGACCAGTATGGGGTGATTTCTGGATAGAAACGACAGTTTGCTTTTGGACAGATGGACTCTGTACCATTTTGAACTGAATGAGACGATGGCGTCACACAGAGATGTTGTATTCACCAGGTTGAGTGTAGAGGCCCACGTCTCATCCAGTATAGCCATATTCAAGTCCTCTTCCCAGGAAGTTTTAAGTTTAGGTGAGGACGTCTCTTTCATAGTCAGCATTTTATCAAAAAGCCACTAAACCAGCCCTTTATGAGTCGGGTCCAATAACAGGATGGTTTCTAACAGTGAATGCTCTGGCAGAGAAACTGAGCCTGAGAGGTGAGACTGACGAAAGTTTCTGGCTTGCAAATATCTAAAAAAAATGGGATTTAGGTAAACCATATTTATTACCAAGTTCCTCAAAGGATGCCAACTTCTTCTCTATGAAAAGGTCCTTAAAATGAGTAAACCCCCTGCGGTGTCAGTCCAGGAACACCCCATCCTGAACAGGTGGTTTAAAAAGGTGGTTTAACTTAAGAGAGAAAAGTCGTGGAGTTTAAAGTATTTCCTAAACTGGCCCCATATTTTCAGTGAGTGTTTCGCTACAGGGTTTAAAATGGGCTTAGCTGAAGCAAGTGAGAGTGGGGAGCAAAGCAGCCGGGATGGATATGTTGTTACCACTACGTAGCTCCATAGCCACCCAGTCAGGGCAGCCACCCAGGTTATGGTAAAAATACCAGAACACTAAGCATCTAAGGTTGGCGGCCCAATAATAAAACCGGAAATTGGGAAAGGCAAACCCCCCCTGCTGTTTAGGTTTTTGGAGTTGTAATTTGTTAAGCCTTGGGCGTTTACCCTGCCATATGAAGGATGAGAAAATCGAGTCCAGTTCATTAAAAAAGTATTAGGAATAAAGGTGCGTAATGCCTGAAAGAGGTATAGAAATGTGGGTAGTATATTCATTTTAATGGAATTGATACATGAAAAGTCGACTTGGTGAGGGATCCCTTCACTTGGTTCAACAGTTGAGTCAAATTCTCCTTGAACAGGTTTTTATGTTTTTTGTCACTGTGATACCAAGGTATGTGAGTTTTTGTCTTTCAATTCTGAGCGGCAGATTAGCAAAATCTGACAAATTAGCTTTATTGCCTATGGGGAAAAGCTCACTTTTGGTAAGGTTCAACTTATACCCAGGTGTTGATCTGAGCAAGGCCAGTCGCTCCGTGTAGCATTTCTATACAGCCGTAGCTCTATAGAAATGCTACACTTTAACCACCAGGAGTTTTAGAGGCTATTTTAAGATCACTGTCTATAGGCGCCATGGTATTAAAGCTGTAGGTCAGCATGGCGTCTTCCTCTGCTGCTGCTTTTCCCACAGTGAGAAACTTATTGAATGAATGTCGAAGCTTTTCTCTGTTTTGTCTCCCAGGATCAGGAGGAGCAGGCGTTCTTTGCTGTGTTTGACGGACACGGCGGCGTGGATGCAGCTATTTATGCTGCCAACCACCTTCATGTCAACCTGTTCCACCAGGAATCCTTCAGCCAGGATCCCAGCGACGCTCTGTGCCGCGCCTTCAAGCTGACGGACGAGCGCTTCATCAAGAAAGCCTCACGAGAGGTACCCCACCCTGGCCTTTAACCCCGACCCGTCCTCCATCAGAAACCCGTCTGCTTTTACTCACAATGACGTTTTTGTTTTTACAGCTCTTGTTGTCTCATCTGCAACTAACGATTGTTTTTGTATTCGATTATTCTGACAATTAATCGGATAAAAGTTTGGCACATTCTGCAGATTTTTCATTCCAATGTTTTTCTTCAATATTAGAAATGCATTAAAAGATGCAAATAAAAAATTATATTTTTTTTAATGAGAAAATGAACATTTTATTGCATAAATGCAATGACAGCTTTCCTTCGTTGAATGTTTGATCATTTATAGCAACCGATGAATCTGCAGCTAAAAATCCTCCAAACATGAGAAAAGTTCAACATGCTGCATTTACAATCTGGGGATTATTTTCATTAATAGATAACAAAGGGAGATTAATACATTTATTTTCTTTTACAGAATTTGAACTTGGTAAAGCTAAAACTGATCCTAGAGTTATGGATAAGGAATATTTACAAAGAAGGTTTTTCAACTTAAATGCAAAATGCATAGATTGTTTCTACAGTTTTGGTTTAATAACTGCTGAGTTCTGTCTTTCAGGGTCTTCGTACTCCAGTGTATTAATCGATAGCAAATTAGTTGACAATCAATTTATTGTGATTAATTTGATTAATCGTTTCAGCCCTGGTTTTGAATGTGTTGTGTTTTACTGCTTAAATGTATTCATTAGAGATGATAAAGTCATAAATCGGTTACAAACCCAGTTCTCCTGTGTCTGCGGCAGCACCTGCGCTGTGGAACCACCGGGGTGGTGACGTTCCTGCGGGGCCGGACGCTGCATGTCGCCTGGCTGGGAGACTCCCAGGTGATCCTGGTGCGGAGAGGGCAGGTGGTGGAGCTGATGAAGCCACACAAACCAGACAGAGAGGTGACTTGCGTCTCTTCCTTCATAGAACAAGCAAATGGGTTTTCTGTAAACTTAGCAAAGAGCCACTGTTAAAGGAAAATCTGCAGTAGTTGTCAGGGGGAAAGTCAGTCATGAACGGTAGAATAATGTCTATAAGTTGGAACCTAAGATGCAAAATTCACTTCTTCCATGTTTTTGTTTCTCCATTTTGGGTTTTTTAAAAACACTCAGATGTTTTTTGGCAAAAAGTTTGTTTTGGTGTCTGGAAAATGAAACGGATCAAAAACTTTCCATTGTTAAGTCGAATTCCACAGCACTGCGCCATTACCTAGCAACCCCAGCTGATCTCCAGCCATGTTACCTAGCAACCCCAGCTGATCTCCAGCCATGTTACCTAGCAACCCCAGCTGATCTCCAGCCATGTTACCTAGCAACCCCAGCTGATTTCCAGCGGTTGGTCAGTTAGTTTTCCCGCTGTACAATGGCTACTGGAAAAGACAAGAGATTAGTTGTTGACTTGCTGCATTCTGGTTGGTTGTGCAGGAGGCTCCACTGATGCTTTTCAAAGATATATGGTTGTATAATTGTTCATCTGTTGGGAGTGTAAACATTGAGTTGGGGGCGTGGCCAGCAGCAGTTTGTCTGGATTTAAAGGGACAGAGACCCTAAAACAGCTCAGACTGAAATCTGACTATCTAAGAATAATTTATTCTGAAAATATAATGAACAGGTTCTGAATAGGCCATAGAGAGGCCCTGACCTGTTCAGAGAAGCATAATTGTTAATCTTTTTCTCTGTTTTCATATTCCACTTCTGGTTGAAGTTTCTGAACCTTAAATAGAATAACATTCAGCAACCGGCTGGTTCAGTTTGCATTATGCTCCTTTATTTTTAACAGCATATTGGCAGCAGAGCTTCCCACTAATTCTGTTCTTTGTGCTCAGTATCATGAGGCGACTATTTTAACATCCATGTTGGGTCAGGGTCGCAATAAATCAGCCCTGATGTCCTTAAATCGGCCAAAACAAACATGAATCTGATCTTATCCAACAATCATGTTTTCCTCCACAAAGGTCTGAAAAGCAGCTGCTGCTCCTGTTGCTGTGCTGGGAGAAACAGTCGGTAAACAGTCACCTCACTGTTTAAAGGCTAGAAAACTCATCCGGTTCTATAGAAACTAACATACAGAAGTGTTACTCTAACGCTACCCAAGTCTGTTAGCTTGGTCAGCTGAACAAATTCTTTTATATATTTTATATCAGTATTATGGAAATAAATCATATGTTCTCGGCTAATACCTACAAAATAACCTGTGAAAAAAACACATCAATTTGAAGTAACATGACTTCCAGGTTCAGTTTAAGTTATTTGCCAAAAATGTCCAGATATCTAGAATAAAAAAATCATTCTTTTTCAGCCCCATTGTTCTTTAATTTTAAACTTTAAAGCAGGAATATCAAAGAAACATCTATCATCAAGGTTTTCTTGGCATCTTTCCATTTTAAAAATTGCACTTTGTATTTTCAGTCCAGAAACAGAAGCACTGCCTGACCCCAACCCAAAAAATGTCAATGTTTTGAGTGGACCGTTCCTTTAAGTGCATTACGAGGCAGATGGAGAAATCTCCGGGTTGATGTTCTGCAGATGATGAGCATCTCTTTGTTTGCAGGACGAGAAGCAGAGGATCGAGGCTTTGGGAGGATGTGTGATTTGGTTTGGCACCTGGAGGGTCAACGGGAGTCTGTCCGTATCCAGAGCAATAGGTACAGTGAAGTTACTGCAGTGCATTGTGGGAAGGCAATACTCTTCACCTGAAATGTCAAAGTACAAATAAGAAAACTGCCAGGAAGGAGTAGCAGATGTTGCTGCTATCAGTCTAACTCTAAACTTGATTTAAAGATTTTCAGTTAAACTGAAATCCAGATTTTCTGTTTGGTCATTTTGCTTTTTATGTTGTTGCGTCATAAAGAAAAAGCCAGACGTAAACAACGTGTGAAAATTAGGAATATGAAATTATGAATGCCAACCCCACACTGAACCCACTTCTCCACAGAAGTTGCAGTCAATGTTGCACAAAAGGCCGTTACTGTTAGTTGTGTTTTGTTATGAGCGTCCATTGAGTTATAACGATGCTGTCGACTGAATAACTTTAGAAATCTTCCATAAATGGCGGCGGCCATCTTTACTGCTGTAAACGGAGCTCTGCTGTGAGGCCGAAGTCTGAACTCAGCCGTGTTCAATGAACAATAAAAAAATCCTGCTGTCTGATTGGACTCTGTCGCAAAAACAGGTTTCATTTCAGTAATGGCTCTAAACTCGGTATACAAAAGAGATTATTTTGGCCTTTCAAAATAGAGTTCACAGAACCTTTCCAAAATAAAAGTCTATTTTAATGGTTTAATTATTACAAACGGAGGCTCCAGATTTCAGTGCAACTCAACAGGAAACCTGATTATTTGACCTAACATGCGTTAAGCGTCAGGCACATCGAAAAAGTGTTACAGAAAATAATATAACCTGAATGTTTTGACAGGCGACTCGGAGCACAAGCCGTACATCTGTGGGGACGCGGACCACGGCATCTTCCCATTGGACGGCTCAGAGGACTACCTGATCCTGGCCTGCGACGGGTTCTGGGACACGGTGAGTCCCGACGAGGCGGTGCGTGTCGTCAGCGACCATCTGCAGGAGAACGCCGGTGACACCACCATGGTGGCCCACAAGCTGGTGGCCTCCGCCCGAGACGCAGGCTCCAGCGACAACATAACTGTCATAGTGGTGTTCCTGCGCGACCCGCGCTCCCCGCCGCCCACCAGCACGGAGGACGAAGAGGAGGGCGGGGCGGAGGAGCCGGTGGAGGAGGAGCAGGTCGCCGAGGTGGAGGAGGAGGAGCAGGAAGAAGAGGAGGAAGAAGATGAAGCAATGAGAGTAGAGCGAGACGGAGGCGAGGGAGGCAGCGCCGCGGACGTGGGAGGAAAAGGCCGCGGCGGCTGGCCGCTGCAGCAGTGCTCGGCTCCGGCGGACCTCGCCTACGAAGATCGGACGGACTCATTCACGGACAGAACCAGCCTCAGCTTGCTGGGGCCGTCACTGGAGAGCCACATCAGCCCCAGCAGCTACCGGGGAGCGCGCCCTCTGACACGCAGGCCACGCCTCCCGTTCCAGCAGCCCGGCGCCGCCGGCTTCACGGACCCACTGTGGCCCCAAATGGCCGTGCTTTTAGGCCACGCCTCCAGGCGAAGCCGCAGGCGGGGCCACGTCGGCCACCGATCGGGTCGGAGGTGGCCGAGCAGGTCCAAAGAGCTGCTGGGTCTGATACCGTCGGGCCACACGCAGAGTTACGCCCCCTGGAGGCCTGGAGTGGCAGTGCCTCACCTGCCCTATGACGCCGCCATCTGAAGAGAGGCGGCGCTCTCTGCTGACTCCAAGTGACGTTTCTGAGTAACACCGTCTCTCAAGAGCAAGCACTGATTGGCTAGATCCCACAGCAGAAATGTGTCCAAAATATCATCATTTTGAAAAAGTTGAGCAACAAAATAAGAAGCTGAGAGTTCAACTTCTTTTCAGAATAAGTTACAATTTTTGAGTGACGTATTTTTAAAATATTTTTGTTTTTAACTATTTTTAACATTATTTCAGGAACTAGATCGGATTTTGTTTTAAAGTATCAACATTCATCCCTTCCTACTTATAAATGTCTGAAAAAGCTACTGTTTGCTACTGAAACAGATGCTCTTATTTTGAAATGTAAGCAGACTTTCTCTAAGAGAAGGCACTATGTAGACACAACTGATGACGCTAATGCTAACACAAAATATCCGCCGTTATCCTATCAAAGTGCTTAAACTGTAACTAATCCCAAAGTCTTTTCTGGGTTACAACAGCAAGCCTGTGTAGTTAAGAAAATAAAGGACAGCTTGATGCCAAAGACGTCAGCTAGCGATATTTAAAAAAGTAACATCTAGTGACAGATGTTAATTTGCTCCAATCAGGTGTGGCTCTTGAGAAACGCGTTGCTTTGGAAACGCTGCTTCACCTGCAGAGCCTCCCGTCTGTCTGAAGGTTCAGCCAAAACAAACCGTTTCGTGGTTCTTCACTTCTCCCCTTTGCCTTCAACCACATATTTCTTTGATAGTAAGTAGTCGTGGCTCCTGCAGTCGTTATGTGATAATCAGTCGATGTTAGAGGACCGGTACTCTGTCCAAAGTCGAAACATTTCTCACTGTAAGCCGAACACAAACCTGCTGCCGCTTTAGACCCAAACATCCTCTCTGTGGCCACTGATCAGCCGGTATGAAGCCAGAGCTCCAAATGCTGGACAGTCGGATGTTTTCACAGGTTGAATGTGACGTAAATGTTTAAAAAAAGCCACTGTAGAACTAACTACCTGCATGTGGAGCAGAGCGGTTACTGCAGACAACACAAAGAAAGTGGGAGCTGTCTCACTTCAGGAAAAAGTCTCCTGGACTCCAACACCTGTTATTAGTTTAGTTAGAGCTTAGTTCTGTTTTGGGCTGTGAAAGCCTCAAGTGATTAAAAATATAAACTTCCATTCATTTATTTCTGTGCCTCTGTAGAGAGAAGTGATGTAACAGACCTGAGCTTCGCTCTCACAGCAGCTGATATTGACTTATTTTGTTTGGCATCCAGTAATGTCATAATTTAGTGTATTTCACCGCACTCACAGGTTTTTAAAGACCTATATGTTGTAACCCTGGCGACGACTTTTTTGTTGTTGACGCTTTCACATAAACAGAACATATCCAGGAAGTATTCGCATCTCAACGTGTTGCAGGGAGAAACCTTCCTCGGTCCTAAGACCCGTCAAAATGAGAAATATTCCTCATTTTAGCAAGATTAGAAAAAAACAAGAACCTCATATTTATGCCTCATTAAAACCAAAATCTGTTCTCTTAAATAAAGACGGTTGTTACAGTAAAACAGTGAAAATCTATTCAGATTTTTAGATGTCGCCTGGAGGAAACGTGGTTAGTTGTTTTTAACAAGTCGTAATCGGTCAGATGAGTGAATTTTTATGTTTTTTTACAATCATGCAAACATCAACATCGGACAAAATGAGTCTGCATTCGCTTCTAGCCAGAAACGCGCATAATTAACTTTTTCTCTTTTGCAAAATTTTCAAACTTTGCCCCGCCCCCGGCCAGCAAAGTGGGCGGAGCCAAGAGACATGTGAGGGAGGGGCTGCGATCGAACGCAACAATCACTGCTGTCAACTTGTCCACTTTTTCCTAAATTTATCCATTTTTCAGACGATTGACTTTTTTCAAAAATAGCGAGTGATAAATCCAGTGACTCTTTCTGTGTTGGAGATTTTAATGACAACAGTCCTGAGCCGCCATTAGCTGCTGTTAGCCGGTGTTGGCTGTCATTAGCTACCGATAGCTGCCGTTAGCTTCTCCATCTTCCTCAGCACTGCAGCCAGTCTGAGTCGTTAGCCGTTCCACTCTGTCAATATTGCAAATAAATCACACATTTGTAAGGCTGAGTATCAACCAATGGTCACCAGTTGTCATGGCAACGCTCGCCACTCCAGCTCCTGACCCGTCCGGGGAGGAAGCTTCAACGTCAATTAAATGTCACCGTTTGAGCCGAATAAATCCAGACTAGAAGAAAAAGTCAAAATAATCAATTTATCAAACAAAAAATCGATTTGGGCGAGTTTCACTTTCTGCTCTCATTAAACCAGATGCACTTTAGCTCAACTTTGAGTAGAAAAGTGTATGGGTACTTATGCACCTATAATGTTTAATTTGCACAACAGAATACTAGGGCCACCCTCAGAAAATAAAAATAATACTAGAATAATGTCAGAGTATTACATCGTACTACGACTTTATTCTGGTTTGATTATTCCCAAAACATCGACTTTGTTTTCTTGTCACTCTCACTCTTAATTTATCCTTGTATTATTTTGACTCTATTCTCGTGATTTTATACTTTATTCCTGTAATTTTATCTTTTTTTATTTTTTATTAGTATGTCACAACTGCTTGGTAGGAAAATGTCTTTATAAATGTCTGAATATGGAACTAAAACTAAAATGGATTTTAGTTCCATTTTTTTTCTCTTCAAATAGGTTTTAGAAAAAGTTTCCAAGTTAAAAAACATGGAGAATATGAAGAGGTGTAAATAACGACTGCTGGCACTTTACATTATAATTAATATTTTCCTTCATTGCCACTAACAGAAATTGGACCAAATCTTTCTGTCCACCCTGGAAAGAGAAATATTCAGTGATTTTGCTGCTTTCTTATGAATACAGAGTGAAAAATATCCTGTTTCTATTAGATAGATGCTAAATGAGCGCTAATGGCTGATCCTGCTTCTCTCTGGATGATTTGAGGCTGCAGACGCTGTTCTGCCGCACCATTCAGTCAGTGACCCAGCAATTATCCTGCAACAATTTGTCTACTCTTAAAAGCATTAACTGTCGGATTATGAAAGATTAGATTTCACTTACCTGAATAAATGCGTCATGCAGCCCAGATGGGATGTCCTCCTGGGCTAATGGGCTTTTAGGAGGAAGGATATTGAGATATATGTATATATTTTTATTAGTCTAATAGTTTTACCTATTTGCTTTAACTAAAAAGAGAGATATTCTTGAAATGCTTGATAAAATTAGCATTAATATTAGTGGGAAAGTTGCATACTTTCCTCAATCTGGATTATTTATTGCAAGATTAATGGATCTAAAATAAAAGTGCTGGGAAGTTTGACAGGAGTTTAATAACTAAAAAGGAAATTTAAAGCCACTCTGATAAATATGAAAGTATAACCTGCAGCTGTTTAGCTCAGCTCAGTCATAAAACCCATTTCTGTTGAGGGGTAGGCTTGTCCATCATAATGAAATTCACAAAAAGGGATTTTCTTGTAACTTTGTTAAATTAATGATGTTGGTCAATGAAGGAATCATGTAAACAGAACCTGTATGAGATTCATATCGTCTTGGTTTTAAAGTGCATCAATGCAGGAAACGCCTTGGAAAGCAGCAGCTGCGGAAAGTTTCCCTCTGAGAGGCTCGAAGCGCCGGACGGGACGCTGATGTCCCGGGTTTGGGACAAGACGTCCCTCACTGCTGCCGTTTCATATTTAGACCGGTTATCAGTTTTCCATCAGGTTGCACAAAACTAAATGTGCTACCTTAAAAATGTCTGCTATCTATATGCAAATGCTGAAATTTTCAAAGAATTAAACTGTAGCCACTTTTTGAGATGTTTTAACCCATTAAAAATCAAAAAGTGCCGAATGAACCATCAGACTAACCATAAAAACAGGAAGAAATATGAGAAAATCAATTAGCTTTTATTTGTAAAGTATTTACATGTTAAATGTTGCAGTTTTTGATAACATTGTTGATCTATTTAGGCTTAAGGAGTTTAACAGGCATTTCTGTCAAATTATAATTTAGTTTGAAATGGCAACAATTGTCAGATGGCCCGTCTTCCATCTGATGTAACAAAAAGGATTTATTCTAAATAAAAGAAGTTTATCATATATTGCTCATAGCAAAACTTAAAATAACATTTATCAGATTTTTCAGAGCCACAAATAAAATAAATCTCAGATTGCTGCTAATCAGGTAATGCTAGTAGATAAAGAAATGCTGTGCTTTGAAAATTATTCATACATAAATGTACCAAATGCACTTTATATTACACATAAAATTAGTAAATATATACTGTATTAATAAGCCTAAATCAGGCCGCCATGAGAACAGAGTCCGACCGTTTAGAACCTTTATTTCTTTGAAACCAGTTCAGTCCTTTATTGAGCTCAAGTTTCCAAAAAATGAGGTACAAAAATAATATTTTATTGGCACATTGGGGGACATTAAAGTAGAAATAGGGATATTTTCTGTCGTATTATTGCTGTTATTCACTGTTTGGTTATATTTAGACAAAGAGTAGAGTTTATTTATTTATTTCCGTTTTATTTGAAAGCCAAACCAAAATAAAAATGTTTCGACCTTTAAAACTAAGATACATAAATATAAGCTCATGTCAAACTGCATCACTGTCGTTTCAAGTGGTTAAAGGGACCAAGTTGGCAAATGTTGAAATATAAAGTGAAAGCTGTCAACAAATTTATATTTTATTACTCAGAAAGCGGTTTTGGTAAAAATACGTTCCTTTCACTTTTTTCCAAGCATTTTGAGTTAAGAAGGAAAACGAGATTTTTTTATTTCTCCCTTTATTCACATCTTCAGCAAATTGGCTGTTTTCAGATGAACTATTGACATTATAACCCTAATTTCCCTTCATTTTATTCCAAATGTTTTATCACCACATCCGAACTGGGTTAGCAGTAAAGCCACTGGTTCCACTGGGGAAGTGTTGAGGAAGAAAAGCCATTTTATTCTCCTGTTTGAGAAACGTCACAATATTTGTGTGTAAAGGCCTGAAGAAAACCGGCAAACTGAAAAACCGTCGTTTGATCTCTTCATGTGTTCATTCTGAGTCTAAGTGAACGTGGATCTGGAGGACGAAATATAGAAACTTTATTATAAATTTGTTTTAATCCACAAGACTCAGCAGCTGAGAGTGTTTCCGTCTGAAACATTCACATTTTAGTGGACAGAGAAACAGAGACGAGGTTTTTATTGTCCGTCTGTCGTAGCTCAGCCGCTTTCTCACCCAGATATAAACAGTAATAGAGATAAATATGTTATTTAATATCTTCAGTCAAAATGTTCATAGTCCCAGTTGAAATGAAAGCAAGCAAGATGTCACTCCAGTTTATTAGCACATAACAGATGAGAAAACAGGAAAATCAAGGACCTGCTGTGGAGTTTCAGTCTCAACTGTTGAACCACAAATTAAATATTTTCACCAGTTTTTATCCGATGTTATTGCTTAAAACTCATAAATGTTTCAATGTTCATGTACTTTATGTCTTATTGCAAAAGTCCAAAAGAAATCCAATGATAACAAACAGAAATTAATGAAATTTACTGGTTTCCAACTGACTTGTTTTGGAGCATAGCACTTAAAATGGATAACTTTTACATTTTTTAAACTTTTAGTATGAAGGTATTTAAATTTTTGAGTTTTTAAATTAAAAACCAACAGAGAGAATAAATCTGGTTACTTTGGTGTCATAATTAGGAAAATATATGCAAACTGACATGCAGCGAACAGAATTCAGATGTAATCAAATCAAAACATTTCTTCAGTGATTGACGTTAAAAAGTGAAATCTATATGTTATGTAACATATATGACGGAGTGATATAATTCTGTCATTTTTAATGTTATTAAAACTGAACTTTCATATAGGAAGTAATTCATGCAAAAGGAGCCCCAACCAAGTATTGAGGAAATAGTTTACAGCAGGCCCACATTTCTGAAATAATCCTTCAATTTCTTTTATATAATATTCACATTTTAAAAAAAAAGTTTTCATCAACTGTAAGCCATAATCTTCAAAATGAAAAGAAACAAGGGTACCTGTTCTGCAAAATTCACATTTTTGTTAATTTATGCTTTTGTATTTCCATTTGGGTCTCAACTGATTCTGACAGCAAAACAAATATTTAAAAACATAAAACAAACCAAAAAAACACGCAGATATTTTTTGGTGTTTGGAAAACGACCCCTTTCAAAAACCTCCCATTTGTTAGGTCACGTTCCACGGCTACAGCGCCGTTACCCAGCAACCCCGGCGGAGCTGCAACACATTTGGTCAGCTGGTTCTGGCGCTGACCTTTCCTAACATTTTACAAGTTTATGGGCAAAAAGTCGCCTATTATATACGGCTCTCTGTTGTTCAAACAGGAGTTTTATTGATCAGTTCCAATCTAATTTATTGATCAGGTGGTGTAAAACGGACCGTAACGTTTTCAGTACCTCTGAAGGCCTGGATGGTTTCCTGGTTTTTGGAGCTCTTAGATTGTATTTCCTGTCTGGACAGGAAATGTGTTCCAACAGGAACCGAAGAGCGTCAGTGGAAAAGAGAGATTTGATGTAAAATCAAAGAAGGATTTGTTATTAAAACAAGATTTCATATTTCAAAGACTTAAAGACGATCCGTAGTCTCAGTGTACAATCATCATCAACAAAAAAAAGTCATAGCAAATTTCTCTAAAAAATTTGTTAATCTAAAAATTTTCTAGAAAAAACAAGAACATTTCTTGTTCTTGTTTAGCTCCAAAAGCTAAATATTTGTTAATTTGTTGGTTCTGAGATTCATCCCTAAATTTCTGAATTTTATTCTAGCAAATTTTTGACTTGGAGCTTAGGGATTTATTTCCTTGATTTTGTTAGAACATTTCTGAGATCAATCTCAAACTTTGAGTTTTTTTTGGGCAGCAGTTTCCTCCTTTTTTTCTGTTTAGTGGCCGTCAGGCTGTTGCAGGCGGTAATAGAAATTTAAACTCTGATCATCTATGAAAAAAATTTAAATCTGTTCAGTGTTGCTGAAAATGCCCAACAGAAGCAATAAAAGAATCGTGCAGAAGTTCAGCTCTGCTTCGTTTGTGTCCGACTGTTGGGCCCCATCGTGACTCTGTGTCCATTTACACAACCAGGTTCTTTTCTTCTTTGTAAGCAATAAGGACGTTTCATTTAATATAAATAAAGGCTCTCTGTGGGTTTGTCTTCTGCTGAAGGATGCAATAAAACGCCATAATTACAGAAGGATGCAGCTTCATTTTTACCTCTCCTGAAATACAAACAGGCCCAATCTGCTGCTGTCAGATGGAAAAAGTGAAAGTTTAGGAAACTCCAAGCTGGCAGACGTTCTGGACCTTTGCTAGTTTGCTGCAGAGAGAATCAGCTGACAGGGGTCAGAGGTTAACCCCACATTCTTGTCCTCCAGGCTTGAAGACAAACCCCATGATTGGTTCTGCTTCAACATGCAGGTTAAGTGAAGAAGAAAACAGGAAAACACATGTTGAGTACCTGTACTATCTGTGTTTCTGTAGTATATAAATATGTGTACTGTAACTGGTGAATAATGTATATATATATATATATATATAAACATATATATATACATAAATATAAACATAAAGAGTAGACAAAGTCTCTGGCTGATGCTTTTGTCTAAAGAAGATTTGAAACGAAGAGAAAACATGAAGGAAGTGATTTCTCAGCTGGAATGATGTTTATGCTGAAGCTTTTTACTTCTAAACATTTAGAATAACTTGCTTTATGTTGCTTTAGATTAAAGTACTGTTAGGGTTTATTTAAAAAAAACAGCAAGATGAAGAAATTATGAATGCCATCACAATGAAACTTTTAGAAAGGGAACTGGGAAAAAATGTGTATAGTTGAAACGATAATCGAATATTGAAGTAATCCTGATCAACTGATTAATCACTAACTGAAGGCCATTTGAAAGAGCAGCAAACTCAGCATCTTGCTATTCTTTACTATTTATTTACTTAAGTAGAAATACTGGCACCATCATGTATTTAAAACCTTTTTGAAAAAGATTTGTTTACTTTGCATTAGAATTTCGGGCGATAGATTTGATCCCCCTGATTCAGACTTCTTCCTTTGCTGCAAAGCAACTTCATTTTATTTGGTTTGGTTTGCTGAAGCCCAGTCATTTAAAACACCACAATATGGCAAAGCATCTGACCTGATGAGGTTGTATCATTTGATGCTTCCTGAACAAGAAACATTAACTTTGTTACAGTCAGCTCGTCTTCGTCAAGTCTTAAAAACCGAACTGAAACAAGGAAGGCCAGTGGAGTCCAAGCAGAAAACATGTTCAGGTAGAAGTGACATAACAAGAACGACGCCGTCTGCCGTTACGTAAAACGCTTCACTAAAGCGAGCAGACGCTCACATTTCTCCTATAAAGGCTCCACGTTTCTTCATCATTCCTTGTTTTTTATTCCCTCATTTGCAGCGATTTGGGGAAAATGAAGATACAGGAATTTAGAGAAACGCAGAATGTTTGGAAAGCTTTAAGAGTCTGATTGAGATTTATGACATTTGGCTTTATGACCAGATGAAATCTGGATTTACTTTGTTAAACTTGAAGGAATGTGAATGATTTACACCTTCAAAACAAGTAATATAAAATTATGAGATTGTTAAAAAATGTAATTAAAAGCAAGGCGAATTATGAAAAATAAAGTTTATCCTTTCAACTCTTCTTTCAAGTCTGTAGCTCAAAAAAGGTTTTCAAAAAACTATGTTTCCAGTCAATCCACTTTTTGGTATTTGTTAAATTTTTCAATCAATTTTATTAGTGAACAATACGATTCAGCTAGCCAGATTATCAGTAGCTTGCTGCATTAACAGCTATGTTCTGAAATTGCTGTTAATGCAGCAACATTATCAAGAAAAAAAGCCTTTAGGGACGAGATGGGGAGTCACTGAGGAGGAAACGAGCAGCTGCAGTCCAGATTAGGGTCAGAAGAACAGCAAGAATCTGGAGGAGAAACTGCAGAGGAGCCAAATCAGAGAATCAGGAAGGAAGAAGATCTCAGGCTGCGAGCAAAAGGAGGATCAGATGGACGGAAGCCTGGAAGGAAAAAAAGAGCTGAAGACATTCAGACAGGTTCAGGATCATCATCATGATGAAGATCATCTTCCCATCCTCCTCTGACCCACATGTGTTGGAAAACAATTTATTTCTTAGACAGAAAATATCCCTAGAATGACGAAGGTTGTATTTTGGGAACATTCAAAACAAAACCAACTTCTGCCTGAACTGGAAATATGAACACAAGGTGAGAGTCCTGCTGCTGTTTGTTAGCAGAAACAACATAATGAGTCATTTTTCCAGGATAATGGAAATAATACACCTCAACTCTACTTTTATTCCAGCTAATAAAGCCCAGAGCCGTCCTTTCTAAAACATGCTACAATATTTACATTTCAGTTTGTATGAGAGTTAAAATCCAGAAAGCCAAACGCCAGCGTGTGTTCAGAGCTTAAAGTTTAAGCATCAACCTTCAGAATCAGCTTCTGTTCTGAACTGAAGACGAATAAATCCATCGAGAAAAACATCACATAATAACAACCTTTGATTCTGGAGATTTGTTTCATTCCAGACAATTTATCAACACTTTTCTTAAACTGCTTCAAAAATAAAAATGACAGGTGAAATTACTTTTCACTGGCAAGTGCAGTTTTTATTTTACTTAACAGAAAATTGGAGGAAAGGTGTCATTTGATTCAGACGGTCGTTTGAGAGATAAAATTTTACAATGATGGATTTGCCAGAGAAAACTGAAAAGGCTCTCCTACCACATCTGTGTCCGACTTCCTGCTTAAACTCCTGGGAGGTGAACACTTCCCCTGGCAAACCGGACCAACCGCGTTGGCCCAGTAAGCAGTAACAGATACAACAAACGCCGTAAAAGAAAAGATGCTCCAGAAGGTCCAGTGAACGACGATGGACAGCATCAGCATCTTCACAGAACTCACTGCAGAGGCAATGAAGGATCACAAGGAGTTCAATTTCTGTTTCCTGCATGTCTGTTTTTTAGGCGTCAAACCAAAACATCTGACTCAACAAAAGCGGCAGCCATCTTGCTGACGAGCACATCCGGTTTCTACCAGCCACAGATGGGAGGCGATGTACGGATTTAACAGATGGTGACAGACCGAATATAACTCAGGCTTCCTTTCCATTTACCATATTGTTGAGCAATTTGACATTTCAGAAATAAATTTGCTCAATGGAGACACCCAGCNACCTAGAGAGGCTCGGTCTCCCTCAGGATGTGGTGCGCACCATTCAGTGCGCACGAGCCACTTCCACAGCGTTATATGCTTCGAAGTGGTCAGCCTTTCAACGCTGATGTGCGGGAGAGAGCTTGGAGCCCATTTCATGTCCTTTAGGCTGAGTGCTGTCATTTCTCCATCAGCTGATGGACAGAAATTTAGTTTTCAGCACCATTAAAACAGATGCTGCAGCTATTTCCTCCTGTCATGAGGGTTTTTGGTGACAGAACGGTTTTCAACCACCCACTGATGAAGCGGTTTCTGAGAGGTGTGCGCAGAAGCAGACAGGTGTCACGCCCACTTGCTCCTCTGTGGGATTTAACACTGGTCCTGCACGCTCTGGTTGAAGCTCCATTTCAGCCTTTAGATCAGGCTCCTCTTAAGTTCCTATCTTTTAAAACTGCTCTGCTGTTGGCCCTTACGTCTGCAAAGAAAGTGAGCGATTTTTCCGCTCTCTTTGTTGCTCCTTCTTGTCTCGGAATACGAGGCGACGGCAGCTCAGCTGTGCTGCGTCCCAATCCTGCTTTACTCCTCAAAGCATCACAAGCTTGTTCAGATCAAGGGAGATATCTTTGGAGGGTTCTTATCCCCCTCCTCATAAATCCGAGACAGAAACTGGTTCTCATCTTCTCTGCCCTGTGCGCGCGCTCTCATGTTATGTGGTGCACACGTCTGCACTGCGTCACTCTCAGCGTCTGTTCGTGCACTACGGAGATAACTCAGTGGAGCATCCTTTCTGCCCAGCGTCTTTCTCACTGGTTGTGTGAGGCCATCTCACAGGCTTACACTTCTTCTGAATTGGATCCTCCAGAGAATCAGACAGCTCACGCCACCGGAGGAATTTCATCCTCCACAGCTCTGCATGGAGGAATGTCTGTGGAGGACATTTGCACAGCAGCTTCCTGGTCATATCTGTGCTCATTTATTCGGTTTTACCTGTGTTTTTCATCATTGGGAAAAACTGGTAATCAATGTTGAATCAATGTATGCTGTTTGTCACACTCCTTACCCTCCTATTCCCTCCTATTCCCTCTCCTAATCCTCTTTGAGCTCTGGGTGGGAGCATTTTATTTTTGAACGGGGTGAATCACGTTTTAAATTAAGCATTATATGTTGAGGACAGCATGCTTATAAAAGTTACATGTTAAAGCTTTAACATTTTAACATTTCTGTAACTTTTTTAAGAGCAGTACCTCACTTGCAATTTCAATGATATTGAATTTGATTTCAATGTCATTCCAATATCAGTAACCACAGTGAATAGGTGAATGACTCAAGGTAGTGTGAAGAGCTTTGAGGTCCTACAAGTCACCTGAAGCAGTGGAGCGGTCCGCCTCCCCCTTTTTACACTGGTGGCATGTCCCAACTACACAGCTACTTTGCTGCTAGCTTGTTTTCAACTGGCTTCTGAATTGAATTCTACTCTGAGCCCTTTTGCAGTAAGTTTGGTGATATTACTTTTATCTAAACTGTGTTTATTGAAAATTAACTGTATTGTTTTGTGCCTATGCTGCAGCTTGATAGGTAAATATGATTATGTATGCCAACTAACAATAGGATAAATAATTCATGAATACTCATTAGCGTGTCCTTATTAATTTAGCTGGGAGTGTACAAGTGGAACCGTACAGTTTCTGTTTGTTCTCACATCTATAATCAACACACTATTTAATTATTTGATTTCAAATGTTATCATCTTTCTAACCGGCACCTTCTTCACTCTTATTTTTGTGTTTTTCAGCTGGTGCTCAGCAGTTTGACTCAGAGCTGACTGACAAGAACTGCAGTGAAACTGTCAAGAAGTGGCTTCGTTACGCTCCAGAGAGGGAGGAAGGCATCAAGGAACCAAAGTGACACCAACAAAAGTCAAACGTGGGTTACCCCAACACATACTGTTTCCCTGGTTCATACAGTACAAGGCTTAACCTCAGACTCTGTTCTTCCATGGCCAATAGACTGTTGTTCTGACAGTCAAAAAGGAGTCAGACATGTTTACAGATCTATGCCTCTTTTCCTAGATATACTGTAATATTAATGCCATGTTGTCATTTTTAAATTTGTGTACACAAATTTTTGGGAATATGCATGTAAGATAATTTTGAACAACATAAAACCCCATCATCTGCCAACAAAATTGTGTGTTTAACACCAGTGAAGAAACTTTTAACGGTATGTTATGATGTAGACCTATCAGACCAAAAAAATGTACATGAATCAATATTAATTGATTAACTTTGATTCAATATGAAATCAACACAAATGTGCATGTACATCCACATCCAGATGATGTCAATCAATATTGACGTAGTGTCAGTTATGATTAAAACCCTAGCATTGTTTCAACATATAAGGTTCTGACCATTTTTAATATTTCAATATCAGGTTTCATCATGGATTAAAATTTTCAACCTAATGTTTGTTTCAACATTGATTCACTCATATTTTATTATCTGGGTAGATAGCCACTGCTGGATCAAATCTTGAATGACGTTCAAGATTTGATCCAGAGTGTGAGGGCGACAGTAGTAGAAGTTTGTCCTGTTGCAATCGGTGGGTTGCTAGTTTGATTCCCTTTCTATCTGTCTCTGTCATTGTGCCCTTGCTCAAGACACTTCATCTTCCTGCTGCTGGTGGTCAGAGGACCTGGTGTCACCTCACCTCTGTCAGCTGTGGCTGCTATCAGTGTGTGAATGTGTGTGAATGGGTGAATGACTGAATGTCCTCGAGAGCTACTGTCCTGCAACTTTTGGATACATCTTTCCTCCAATAGACCAGGATCAGCTCCGAACAGACCTGCTAACCAGCCATTCATTTGATTCAGGTGTGTTAATTGGCGCAGGGAAGCATCTGAAAGTTGCAGGATGGCAGCTCTCAAGGACTGGACTTGAGCACCCCTGTACTGAACAGTCGTACCGCGATATTCAAACAAATAAACTTACGTTAAGCATAAGTTGATACTCTTGCGCAAACAGAAAGTTAATGCATTCATTAAAAATAATCCAAATAAAAAACATGACGATCTTAACATGAAACTTACTTATTTTTTTAAATAGATCTTTATTGAGATACAGAATACATAACAGTATAAACGCAGCATACATTGCGGTATAATGTCCGCCAGTGACTTACAAACATTGAGACAACACATCACCATTACATTACATAAATACATCAAAGAAAGAACAAAAAGAGCATGTTTTAATAGCTTTGGGGAACTTACCTTGTTATGAGAAGCTCCAGACAAGACGCCATACTGCTGTCTCCAGGGCAAACACGTGACGTCACAGATACGTTGCGATTGTGGGAGCAACTCTTTATCAAACACCATCTCTTTAGGGAAACTGACAAACCCATCTTTGAATTTGACTAAACAAGTGTTTAATTAACATTGTATTTTTAACATACAACACCAACACTGGTATTCTAACATTTTTAATTATGCTCTGTAGATTTCGATTCATTCCCAAAAAGATTTATTATGGAAAGTATTTTTTTTCTTTCAGTTTAATATTGTCTTTAAATGCCGGTTCTCTAAGATGCAAATACAAGTAAAATGTCTTGCCTAGGAAAAAAAAACTGTATTGTACAATTATTTTGCGGTAGTTTATTGCCAGTCGCCAGTCCTGATTGTGACAAGAGAAGAAGACATCAAATTGACAATATCCTACCGTATTTTGGAATAACAGTATGTTACTGCTGGAATTCCGCCGTAAATGTACAGCCATTTCTAAGAGTGTGGCTTTCAACTCCAGCAGGATCTAGTTTTAAATTGTATGTTTGTTTGTTTGTTTTTAAACTGTAAGAGTTGTTTTTTTTTATTGTTATGTTGTGTTTTAATGAACAGCACTTTGTATCAGCTGTTGTTGTTTTAAAGTGCTTTATAAATAAAGTTGGTATGGTATGGTTTCTGAGTTGAACGTTTCCTAACTATTTGACTCTACTACTGACATGAGCTGAACTGATGATTTTATCCCAAAATACAAGGTTTCCATAAACAATATGATTTTTCACCCTTAAAAAACAACAAAGACAAAACAAAAGTCAAGCTAATTCTCTGGCTGCATTCTTCTGGCCATGACTCTTCAGTCAAGTGTATTAATCATGTTAATATAGGCTCTAATATAATTGTGAATCATATCTAGCAGTGTTGTGGTCAAGACCACCTAACCCGAGACCAAGACAAGACCAAGACCAGAGTGTATCGAGACTGAGACAAGACCAAGACTTTTAGGGTCCGAGACCGAGTCAAGACCAAGACCAGCGGCCCGTGCTACATGACACAATAAAATGTAAAATATGATCAAAATTCCTTTTCAAAATAATCTGAAAGATCCATATTCCCATAAAAACAACTGGATATTAAATACTTAATACATTTTACCAATATTAAATATTCCATTTCTGTGCTAAAATGTGTGATGGTCTCGTGCCATCCCTAAAAACATAACGCCCTGGGCATTTGCCCATATTGCTCATATAAGAAACCACCACCACTGTCTGCACCATTAAACATAGCAATTGAGGCAATGCCCTGACGGTAAATAACACCGTCAGGGCCAAGGAGCAACAAGCAAGAATTAACCAAACAGAAGGCGCTCATTGTGACTGTTTTCACTCTCTATCCCACTACATGAAGCCAGGTAGTCTGACACCATGGCAGACATTACAGCTGCCACTTTGACCGAAAACAATCAAAGAGTGCATGCTCTGCGTGCTCTTTCGTTCTTGTGTTTTAGTTATTTAATTTAAATAACGTACATAATTAAATTAAATAATGATGCAGTGTACACAGAGCATTACAAGAACAAAGAACGGGTGTTCTGTCAGGTAAGATTGTCATACGCTTAGCTCAGACATGCATACGCTGTCATTACCATATGATTTTATTTAATCATCAACATAGAATCATGACCTAGATCATCATACACTTGGTTATTAACAGTTGTATGGCATCCAGCTGCAGCCAGACCTGCTTTAAACACACTTTGAAACCATGACAATGCATGTATATC